ACTCGTGAAATTCACCAGCATACACGAAGAAGTTGTGCAATATACCCTTGTGTTTTGGGGGTACCTGAAGACAACGACAATGTTCAGGGGCATTTCAACAATCTTCTCTTTTTTTCTCCTGTTTTTTTTCAGAGAAAAGGGAAACGCGCCCACAAACAACTGAGCAAGGCTTTCCAGCCAAGCAGACTTAGCAGGGCGAAGCTCACTACGCCCGGAAACGTTGAGGCACAATCATTGTTAAACAAAGCCGGGCAACAGGCCCGGCGTCCCGCACAAAGGTCGCCGCACCTCACGAACTGAGCGACGCTCTCCGGCCAAGCAGAGCCCAGGCTGCGACCGTGGCAATTTTTTTCCTCATCCAAGGTCGGTCCCGGCCTAGCTCAGTTGGTAAGGCACGCAAGTGGCATTCAGGAGGTCTTGGGTTCAATCCCCATTGGCCTCATGCAGCTTCCTGAACAAGCTTGGCGCCCGCCACCTAGAGATATGCCGTTGGTCCCCCCGAGTGGCATTGAGCAGAGACTGCTAATGTTCATAGGGGGAGGGGACCGGAGGGGAGGGACAGTGACTGGCCCATCGACGAAGCTCGGTCCAGATGCTACCGGCTGACCCATGGCCGGTATCGCCCACCTGCTGTAGCAGGTATCGCACCTGCTGGTGGGTGAAGCTCCCGCATGTTCCCTCGTTGGAGGCTTGAGCATGGATGTGGCTGCTACGGGGTTCCCCGTAATACTATAATAGTATAATGACAATAAAAAAAGCCCTGAAAGGCCGTCCTGTCCAGATTTGACAGGTAATTGAATTCGTTGGGCTTGAAGAATTAGCCTTTTGAAAAAAAAATATATATATATACATATCGTCACAAACAGAACTGCCCGGTAAGCCGTAGGCAGAGAGAGAGAAGAGGACAACAAACGAGGGGCTGTGACAAACTGTTTCATATATATATAGAAACAGTTTGTCACAACCCCTCGTTTGTTGTCCTCTTCTCCCTCTCTGCCTACGGTTTACCGGGCAGTTCTATTTGACGATATATATATATCATCCCACCGATAGTCTACAAATCCCTTTTTTTTTTTTTTTTTTTTTTTTTTTTTTTTTTCAATGGGAACAAGCTCCAATCTATTCATGGGGAGCAACACGTGCTGGGAACCGGGCCCAGCGTCCCATATAGAAAATTACATAGGAATTTGAAAAAATTGAGAGTTTGCAGTATATATCATCCCACCGATAGTCTACAAATCCCTTTTTTTTTTTTTTTTTCAATGGGAACAAGCTCCAATCTATTTGTGGGGAGCAACACGTGCTGGGAACCGGGCCCAGCGTCCCATATACAAAATTACATAGGAATTTGAAAAAATTGAGAGTTTGCAGTAGTTTGTTTGTATCTCTTAATGGGCCCAGCAGCCCATTGATACATCATGTAACACTGAGATTGCTGCTTCTTGTTATCTGGGGCTGCGGTCTCTTCTCTTCTCAGTCCAGGTCTCTGTTGTCCCATGGAGCTGCTAATGACACCCATCCCGTATTGGAGCACCTTATCTTTTAGCCGAGCCCTATTCAGGAGCCCCCCTGTACTATATCTGTTCCTTCAAAACCATTTAATCCTATGCCCTCTTCGCACGTTCCTAACCCTCACAGTCCTTGAGAATCAGTGCTGCTGTAGGTCACTCCTACCCAGAAAGGAATTTGAGAGGTAGATGTACTGTTGCAGCCAAAGTTACTTGGCGCACCTGACATCATACAGTGAGTGGTAGTTTACACAGATCTCATGAGTTGCAGGCGGTGAGCCAGAGGCATACCGTCAGCCCTATTCAGTAGCCCCCCTGTACCATGACTGTTCCATTAAAACCGTTTAATCCTATGCCCTCTTCGCACTTCATTCCTAACCCTCACAGTCCTTGAGAAACAGTGCTGCCTCAGGTCACTCCAACCCAGAATGGATTTTGGGAGGTAGATCTACTGTTGTAGCCTAAGTTACTTGCGTACATGACATCGTACAGTGAGTGGTAGTATACACAGATCTCATGAGTTGCAGGCGTTCAAGGATCCACTGGGGTTCGAGTGCAGCGTTCTTTCAGACTTCCACCCATTCTGCACACAGCCATCGTTATCGGTCGCTGCTGTTCAGTCCTTCAGTTTGTCGCGGGAGGGCGGCCCTTGTTGCTTGACTGTAGTCGATGCCTGGCCAGTCTACAAATCCTAAGTAAACTCTCAATTGTTAGAGTAATGCATGGGGACGAATCCCCAAGCCACGTAAGCGAGCACTTTGGGACAGGGAGGTTGTGCGCTTCACGACCCATGGCGGTGGGAACAGGGCCAGTGCATGTGGGGTGTTGACCATGATGCGGAGGACGGGCATGGAAGAGAACGGGTATGGCGTCAGCAGCTCTGCGCCTTCAGGACGATGAACCGGTTCTTTACAACTGTTATTGGAAGCACCGGCCGTTCGGACTGCAACACAGGCCGTGGACTGGGGAGGGTGTGCCGCCTGCATACCCGTCTCTGCCGCACGGGGAAAGTCGCACGGTTGCCCAGTGTCCACAGTCGCCCTTCCTTTAAACCACAGGTAAGGGACCTGGAATGGCCTTCCAGGCCCCGACCTTTCCCCAAAAAAAAATCCCAAAAAGGAAAACCGCCCTGGGTTTTCCTTTTTGGGTAACCGTGGGCATCGTGAAAGCAACACTTCCCAGCGGCTGTGGGGTCCCCTGTGTTTTTATATCCCCGTGGCCGTGGGCAGTCGCCTTGAAGTCCAAGACTTCGTGTGAGGTCCCTCCCTAATTTGACCCTGGTGGAAAGGGCCCGTTGGAGATTCCATCCCAGAATGGATTGGGGCCGGCGCCCACAAACGGCCAACGAAAAAAAAAAAAAAAAAAAAAAAAAAAAAGAACCAACGGCCCCCGCCCCGCAAGATTTCTTCATCACCCCTAAAATCCTAAAATGTCGGAGGGTCTCGCTTACCGGACCACAATGGCTGGCGGCGCCAGCCAAACAAGGAAAGAAGTGCACGCCTGGCGGTTAGGCAATGCTTGGCGCGCAGTTTGGCGTACTGGGGCCTGGTCCCACTAGCAAAGAGGGTCGGATTGAATTGAATCCCTGAATCTGGACGATTTTATGGAGATGTGCAGGGAATTGAGATTGAACTGCTTTTCTGCATCTCTGCATAAAACACATCCAGATTCAGGAGATCGATCCTATCCTTTTTGCTAGTGGGACCTCGGCCCTGGTTGTATAAGGGAGGGACACAAATGGACTATATATAATATAATATAAAATAAAAACAAACTCGCGCCTTTTGTCGGTCCCTTATGCGCAGTTTTGTTTTTGTTTTGGCCGCCCGCCTCCGCCCGCCTCCGCCCGCCGTTCACGCAGAGTACCGCGGCGGCGCTGCCCTGCAGTTTGAAATTTGAACTTGGACGTCCTCTGCTCACTCTAAAAGCGCCTGTGTCTCGCAGAATGTGTTCATTCTCCCCTCTCCTTGCCCGCCCGCCGGTAGCCACGAGGTAAGGAAGACTTCTTTGCTCCCCGTCTTCCCTCTGCACCTGGACTGTTTCTTGGTCTCGTTCTTGTTCTTCTCTCATTGTTTTTTCTCGCCCCGAAGTAGCGGAAACATGTCGGCTCCGGCTACCGCCCGCGGAGCTTACATGGTTGCTGATGACGCTGGGGGCCGTTGTTGACATGGCAGCTATGGGGTAGAGACAGGTTGGGACTATTGTGGTTTCTCGTTCGGATCCTCTGGTCGCAGTCGGGGCGATGGTCGTCATCGTTGTAGTTTGGTTTCCCTTTTTTTCTTTTTTTTCTTTTCTTTTCTGGAAGAGGCCCTTCCTTCTACTGTCCTTCTACTTTCGTTCTTTCTTTCTGTTTTTCTTGTCTCTTTCTTCTTCTTCTTCTTCTTCTTCTTCTTCTTCTTCGTTCTTTCTGAGCATTGTTGTGTCTGAGCTTGTCTTGTAATGAGTATGCCTTTATGCTTGGACGACACACCCCCTGCAGTCTTGCCCTCCCTTTATTCTCTATTCTCTTCTCTCTCTCTCTCTCTCTCTCTCTCTTTTTTTCCGTTGTCCTTTGCTGTTCTGCTTTTCTTTATCTTTGAGGGGCTACCATGTGTTCTGAATGAGGCTCCCGTGTGAATATTTGCTTGCTTGTCTTTGGTAGTCAAACAGTCTATTAAGAAAAAGGTTTTTTTTTTTTTTTTTTGCTCGTACTCTATATTCCACAAGCCATCGCCAGCGAAGAGAGAGTGGAATTGAACGACGACGATCCTGGGCGGGCTGAGGACGATCAATATCTCTTTTGTTTCTTTTTTTCCGTTTTTCGTTGTCTCGCGTACCTGTTGCGACTCCGGCCGCAAAAAAAAAAAAAAAAAAGGTTTTGTTTTGTGAACAAAAAAAAAAGAAAAAGCGAACACCATGATGAGTGGGTATGGTGGCCTGAATGCAGTTGGATAGAAACTGGCCTGTTATGTCAGAAATGCTTTCACATGTATAAGCTTGTCAGCACAGGGGTGGAGTTGCACCACTCGCCATCGGCCAAAGTTTTGAATGTATCTTGACATGTAACCACTCGCCATCGGCCAAAGTTTTGAATGTATCTTGACATGTAGGTGTCCAAATGCGTTCAAAATCTTGGCCGATGGCGAGTAGTGCAACAAGGCCCGAAGAAGCATTCTCTTTCAGATGTCAGAGAATACAAAATTCTTCGCCCTTGGAGGAATTCATTCCACACTTCGTTTTTTCTCTTTCTGCGTTCAACGATAAAATCACGCCACTCAAAAACGACCCCTCTCTCTCGCTCTGTCTCTCTCTCTCTCTGTGTCTGTGTGTGTGTTTGTGTGTGTGTTTGTTTGTGTGTGTGTGTGTGTGTGTGTGTGTGTGTGTGTTTGTGTGTGTGTGGGTGTGGGTGGAGGTGGGTGTTGGGGGGGGTGTAGAAACAATTAACGATTTAGGAAAAAAAGGCGAGATACAGTTTCTTGTGACCGCACGCAGACACACACAACCCACGGCGTTGAGTCTCCCTCCTCTCCTACTGGGCCGACCCCTCTTTGCCCCCTGCTCCAACCCTCCCCTCCCGGTGTGTCCATACATCGTCACCCCCTTGCAGTATTCTCCTCCCCCACTGCGATCGCCATCCATTCACCGTGCCGATCCTCCTTCACCACCGAGCCGGTCCTCCTGCCCCACTGCGCCAACCCTACTCGCCCTATTGCCCCGACCATCTTTTCTCACTGACATTGTAGATGTGCAGGAGGGAGGAGGAGGAAGATGAGGGCAAAGACAAGTAACAGGAGGGGGGAGGAAGAAGATAAGAAAGGAGGAAGATAAGGAGGAGGAAGATAAGAAAGGAGGATGATAAGAAAGGAGGAAGATAAGAAAGGAGAAGGAAGATAAGAAAGGAGGAGGAAGATAAGAAAGGAGGTAGATAAGAAAGGAAGAAGATAAGGAGGAAGAAGAAGATGAAGAGGGGAAAGACGGGGAGGAGCAGGATGGAGGACGAAGATATGAAAGGAGGAAGAAGATGATGAGGTAGAATATGAGGAGACCCCATAGGGTGACATGAACACGTTGGATGACGTCCAGGGAGAGCATGGCAAGGAGAAGCAGGCTGAAGGAGGGGGGGATCATGATGAGGGGAAAGAGAACGAAGAAGGGTGAAGGTCATGATCTCTGCCGACTTTTGTTTGATTATAATAACGCTTCGAGAAAACAGGCGGTACGTGGGCGAAGACAAGGACTTGAGGATGAAGAGAGCGAAGACGACGTCAACAAAGGAAAACTAGGACGATGAAGCTCATCCCGCCAAAGACAAACGTAACATCCTCTGCTGCGAAATGTTGAGAATCCAATCCTTTTTTTTTTTTTTTCCGAACATCGCGACGAGCGGGAAGGATGGCGTGATGACGCAGGACGAGAAGATGATCAGGGCAAACACGAGGGCGAAGATGATAAGAGGGGGGGGGGAGAGAGAGAGAGAGAGAGAGAGACCCAACCAGGATAATGTGTGTTTTAGATAGATATATAGATATATAGATAGAGAGATAGATAGATAGATAGATAGAGAGAGAGAGAGAGAGAGAGAGAGAGAGAGAGAGAGAGAGAGAGAGAGAGAGAGAGAGAGAGAGAGAGAGAGAGTCGACCAGGATGAAGTCGAACCCGTGTGTTTAGTGCGCAGGCTTGTGTTCCATCGCGGGCCTGTTTAGCCACGATCTTTGGCGGCGGTGCGCCTGGACTGGTAATAATAATAATATTACTGTAATGAGAATGACTGTGCATTCTTTATTATTATTATAATGATAATAAAATAATAATAATAATAATAATAAGAATAAGAATAAGAATAAGAATAAGAATAATAATAAGAATAAGAATAATGATAAGAATGACCGTGCATTCTTCTCGGGATAATATGGTTGTAGCAGGTTGAGAGCTGAGCGGCGCGATTCACTGCACTGGAAAAAAGTGCTTGTTGATGAATTGATTAATATGGTGAATGAAAAAAAAAAAAAAGTTCGAAGAGTTGATGATGTTGAGTGGTGGGCAAGACGAGGTGTTTTTTTTTTCTTTTTTTCCGTGCAACAAAAGATGGATGTTTGTTTTCTCCAACGGTGCAAGTGTTTTCGACGAGATTTACAGAAATCCAACGATGTTTTAATCTCTTTTTTTCCTAGTTGTCGTCGGGGTTGTTCTACTGATACTCCATTACGTTCTCTCCGTAATGTTTTTCTTTCTTTCTTTCTTTCTTTCTTTCTTTTTTGTCGAAATTCAAACGTTTCCACTCTCCGTTACTTTCCGTTACGTTTGTCTTTTTCCTGACTCTAGGCTGTGGTCATCTCCTTGTTGCAGGTTTGGAACGGAAAAGCTCACCCTAACCCTAATTCGAGTGAGTGCACTTTCTGCTGCTGGCGGCGGCGCTGGTGTAATTGCTGGTTGCTGTGGTGTTGGGCTCCGGCAGCAGCTATCGCCAACAACACCAGGTGCAGGGAGGATCTCTTACTCAAGGCCCTACTCTCCCATTAACTGCCTCCGTAGCAAGCGTTCACCCTCTGCTGAGCGAAACTGCAGAGGCGGCGGCTGCCCCCCGACCGGCCTTCTTCACCACTGTCATCGTCGTCGTCTTCCATCGCTATCGCCATTGCCATCGCCATCATCTCTGTTGATAAGCTCCGTGACTACATTTCTCATTTACCCCTCTCCACTACCCCCTCTTCCCTATCGTCGTGGTCCTCTCGCTCGCCTTGGCCTTCCTCCCTCTCCTTCTCCTCCTCGACCCTGTTGTCATCGTCAAGATAGAAAGGTAGCGGCGGCGGAGAGCTTCGTGCCAGTTGTGACAGCCATGGAATCTGCCGGCGCTGATGTTCAGACCTCTCAAGCTATGGAAGTTTCGATGACAGTACCTCCTAAGGTGGATGTGGAGGTGGAGGTGGAGGGGGAGGTGGTTGCCTCCGTTGTGTCCGACTCTGCTCCTCGTCAGCCGCACGGTAAAGTCCAGAAGATTGAGTCCAAGGATGCGGAGGGCAAGGCGGTCGAGATCCCGTCAGCAGCTTCAGACGCTCTTCATCTCGGCCCCCAGATCAATGGTGGTGCTTGTGGGGGCAATATTGCAATTGCCAAGGAGGTTGGAGTCGCCAGTGCATCAGCTCTGAGAGTCAAGAAGCTCTCCGAGCACGCCATTCTCCCATCCAGAGGGACCACCCACTCGGCGGGTTATGATCTGGCCAGCGCTTACGACTGCGTCGTGCCGGCTCGAGGCACGTGCCTGGTCAAGACCGACCTCTCGATTGCGATCCCGTTAGGCACTTATGCCCGCATTGCGCCGCGATCGGGACTGGCCTTGAAGAAGTCCATCGACGTGGGAGGAGGAGTCGTCGACTACGATTACCGGGGTCCGGTCGGTGTCATTCTGTTCAATCACTCCGATGAAGACTTGGCAATCCAAGCTGGCGATAGAGTGGCTCAGCTCATCTTAGAGAGGATCGTCACTCCGGATGTCGTGGAGGTTGAGGACCTGGACGAAACGGAACGAGGAGATGGTGGATTTGGCTCCACTGGTCTGGCCACGACATCCTAAAGGGGAGTAATCAAGGGCAAAAAACTCACATTAGGATTTTTTTGACGTGCTTATGGACGTAATTGCGGTCAGATGCATCCAGATTCGGCTGTAAATGTTGTGGTGTCACTCCGGAAGTGGTGGAGGTTGAGATCCTGGACGTAATTGCGGTCAGATGCATGAGGTTGAGAACCTGGACGAAACGGATCGAGGCAGATGGTGGATTTGGCTGTCGATTGGTCCGTGGCCACGACATCCTAGAGGGGTGTAACCGAGGGCAAAAAACTCACATTAGGATCTTTTTGACGTACTTATATAGACGTAATTGCGGTCAGATGCATCCAGGTTCGGCTGTAAATGCGTCGAGGTACATTTAAGATAGAGATAGTGTGAGTGTACGCCCGGAAATGTGTGTGTGTGTTCCCGTGCTTGATGCGGGTTAGTTTTGGGCCGAAGGGTTTTCGTTGATGCGGCGACGATGAGGGTTGATTTATGTCTTTCAATCGGTTAATGAATGAATTAAGGCCTGCCTACCGCGGCCCACCCACTTCAGAGCGATCAATGTTGTGTACTTGTTGCAGAGCTTTTGTAGTTGGATGTGTGGGGGGGTGCTGTGCCGACGTGGAATGCTGTTAGTTTAGAAGTCTCGAGCGATCATCGTCGTTGACGTCTCACGAAATCCGCTCAGCGCGTGCTGGTCGCATGTACCATAGCTCTCTCACCGAGACTCGCTGCTGTGTAGAGCTGCTTTTCCGGATACCGCCTGTCTCTTATACACATCTAGATGTGTATAAGAGACAGGGCCCATGGTGTTCTGTAAAAAAGCTTGCACCCAACGGCTAGGCTGACGATTTAAAGGAGACACAAGTTGGGGTATTTTGTCCGATACCCCTAAAACACAGGGGTGTCACGAAATGCGCATCAGTTCTACAAATGCCCGTCCCGGCCGTGCGCAATGTTGCCGTATGAGCCTGGGCATGGACTGAAGGCTCCTGGGAATTTCTTTCGCCATGGGTCCCTCTACCAGGCAGACATCTTCTCTGTGCCTGCCCTGCAGCCAACTTTGTGCCCATCCAGTTCGAGTTTCAAAGGATAGTTGAGTTGGCAATGCTTTCGGGAAAGGTTCCTAATCCTCCTCTACCTTCTATTTTCTTCTACCTTGTCATCTTCCTCCTCCCACTCTTGTTCCTCCCCAACTGCACCCCCCCCCAGGGAGGGAGAGAGAGAGAGAGAGAGAGAGAGAGAGA